ACCATCACATGACTGTCTGGGTTTCTGAAATGTGAAGGCTTTATAAAAGCCTTGTGGCTTTTGAGTAATAGTAAAGCAAGTGCTGGCTTGATAATCTGATCTATGCACTATGCAAACCAGAATGTAATTTTAGATACTATAATTTTGTGTCACAGATGACTCCATGATCTTCAGAGGAACTTGCCTAACTATAAGAGTATATTCTCTTGGAAAATAAATTCATTTTGACATTTAAGTGATTTTTAGATTCCATTTGAGAAATCTTTCATTTATAAATATTTTAAGTTATTTCTCACATTTCTCTAGTCACAAAAACGGTCATGGGTAAAGTACTTCATCATTGAAAAATGATTGCTATTTCATTGTGACCATTTTCAAGAGACGTTCATTGCAAAATAATTAGGAAAATGATAATAACATCTTGCACATACGTTAGCCCATTTATTAGTTTATTCAGTAAATCTTTCTGAATACCTGTCTATTTTGTGTCAGCCATTAGATACACTTTTGGGAAAGAAAACAGACAAAGCAAAGTAAGCAAAACAGGCCACTGGACCACTAAAATATTTTTTGTGTAGTCTTCGCATTGATTTCTATGCACTTTATTATTTGGCTATCTCCTTGGCCTTTCACTCAGAATGTATTTGCTTTAAAATTTGTATATATTTCTAACACGAGTATTTATCTGATCTCTTGGATTATTGAAAAGTAGGTAGGGATTGCTGCTGAAGTCATATGCACTGACAATGCAAATGATAACAAGTGCACACAACTAGAAGCCACACTTGCTGAGCGATCACAGTAATATTTAAAATAGGATTTCTCTAAGGGTGATGGGAAAATTTGGAAATGAATAGTGGTGCTGAATGTGCGACATGATGACCATAATTAATTTCACTGAGTTCTACATGTAAAAAATATTAAAATGGCAAATGTTTGTTCTATATATTTCTACATATAAATACAGATATTTATTTACCACAGTTAAAAAATAAAAGTCATTCTCTGGCTCGGCCCCAATTTGCTGCATGAGAACTTCAACCCTTCTTACTCAACAATTTCTTCCCAAATCTTCTGAAAGTTCCCTGAGAATACCTCAACTAGACTTTCTTAAAATCGTTAGAGTTCTCTCCTCCATGTCCTGATCATTGTAGTAATAGTACCCATCACTACCAACCAGGGCCATAGCTGTACCACAGATAGGAGTGAACAGCATCATGAGCAATGCATACCTGAGCCTAGAACCAGTGCCATTGTGGCCCTGCATTCTTGATCTCCCACAGAAATTTTAGTGTATTAGATTATAGCAGGAAGGACAAATCATTAGAAAAGGACATCATGCTTGTCAAAGTAAAGGATCAGTGAAAATGAAGGAACCCTCAATGAGGTGGATTGACGTAATAGCTTCAGTGGACTTAAACGCAGGACTGGGCAACGTTTCTTTCTGTTTTACAAAAGGTCACCAGGAGTTGAGGCCAATTGAACAACAATTAACAACAAAATAACAAGCTGCTGTAATAATAATGTACAGCAATAATGCAATGGCTGAATATAGACGTTTATTTCCCTCTCATATAACAAACAGTCCAGGGTAGGTGTCCATTTTGGCAAAGTGTTCTCATGCAGCCATTTAAGGACTGAGGCTCTTCCCATGTTCAACACATAGAATGCAAGATTGTCCTGCTCCCTGCCATGCCAGCTCTAGCAGGAAGGAGAGAAGAGTGTGTGGAGGAGACACACCTACTTCTCAAAGGCCTCACCCAGCTCATCTTCTGTTGGTGAGAACTAGACACGAGGCCCCACCTACCTGCAAAGGGGTGCTAAGAAGTACTGGCCCTGCCTGGGCAGCCACTTCCCAGCCACAACTCTGTATTACGGCTTTTGATGGACAGGAAGATGTCACCTCCACACCTCTGTTTCATTGTTCTAGACCTTTCATTGAAACCACCTGCTCTAACACCCAGATCACCTGAGGGCATCATTGGTCATATAGTGTGTTCCATCTCTTTCCTAAGCAGCTCCTTTTCCCATTCTTAAAAACAGCTTTTCTAAGTCTTTACCGCTCTTCTCAAATCTACTCACCCGCCTACCTATCCCCAGCTTTAACAGATGACCTGCCCGCCTATTGCAGAGTGAAAACAGAGGTTCTTAACTGTAAACCACCTCAGCTCTCTTCCCAACACAGTCACTCTTCCTTTCTATCTCAGAGGAAGACGCGTCTGCTTCTTTCACGAGCCCACTCTTCTTTCCATCAGTGTTCCTAATCTTATTCCTGTCTGTGTCATCCAGGATCTTGTTGCATTAAGTATCCCTGCTTTCTCATAACTTGAGTCTCATTATCTGCTTGGCAAAGTGTTATATACATGAAGATATAAAATGCTTTAAATTTTCCTCAAGCTATTTTACATTTTTTCCTTCCCCTCCTTTTTTTTCTTTAACCAAATCTCTTAGAAGACCAGTTTATGTTTACTCATCATGTCTTTACCTCTACTCTACTCTTAGCCTTTTGAAATCTGTACAAAAAGGAGCACACTAAGATCTGCGCAGCCCCATATTCACTCAACAATTCACCAACATATAATAATTGAGCACCTTCTGTGCCAGGCACAGGTCATTGGACAGGCTTTGTCCCCTTGGAATTTACATCTGAGTAAGGAAAGGCAAAAAATAAATATTTGTTAGAGATGTGATATGTGCTGAAGAGAAAAATAAAGCAAGACGAAGGAGTGAGGAGGATGTTGATATTTTAAACAAGGTGGTCAGGAAAAGCCTGTCTGATAGGTAATGTTTGAGCAGAGACCTAAAGCAAATGAGAAAGCTGTCCACGTTGATAACTGGGGGAAGAGCATTTCAGGCAGTGAAACAGCATGTACAGAGGCCCGGAGGCAGGAGCATACTAGCACATTCAAGGGACAGTAAAAGGGTTGGTGCAGCTGGGGCAGAGTGAGGGAGGGGGGAGTACTAGCAGGAGAGGCAAATTTGGCTGGAACCAGATCCATAGGGCCATCTAGGCCATGGTAAGAATTTTGATGGGGAGCCGTCAGAGGAGTTTTGAGGAGAGGAGTGACATGATTTGACTTATGTTTTAGAAAGATCATTCGGACTGCTGTATGGGGAATAGGCTAAAAGAAACAGAATGATCAGTTAGGATACTATTGGAATAATCCAGGCAAGAGATGATGTTCATCTGGACTAGGGAGTTATCTGTGGAAGTGGTGAGAAATGGCTCCTGTTCTGGGTATGTTTCAGATAACTGACAGGATATGTAGAAGTCGGCCAGGCAGACAAGGGGAGTATCCTAGTATCTTCAATTTGCCCCTCCAGTGTCCATCTCCTCACTTCTCCACCTTGCTCTGTGGCCCAGGAAGCTGACTCTTATAGACACAGTCATCTCTGACTTGCCTTTGGGTTGGCCAATGAGAGGATCCTGGAGAAGATCAGAAGGCAGGAGGAGCATATAGTCAGAGTATTTGTTCTCCCTGATCCCTCTTTGCCCTTCCCCCTTCTCACCTAGCTCAGGGATGCACCACTATATCCCTAATTGATTTTCCTGAACCCCACCCACAACTTTACAAATAATTCCTTTATTAAGCTTTTCTCAAATTGTTGGGATCTTGACTCAGACTGGGAGCTAAGGCATCTAGTGCTGTAAAAACAGAAGAACTTTTTATCCCTGGTAAAATGTTAAATCCTTGAAGACAGAGGCTGTCCTATTCATGTTTTTATTTCTATGACCATGGAGTAGGTAGGAATTTGCTACAGTTGTATTGATGAGTGTTATTTGTAATGTTGGCACCTGAGTCCTCAAGAATTGACTAAGCTATGTTTGTTATGAAGATTAATCGAAAGTAGAGATGTGTGTGTATATCCTTTTTAGTGCTTCTAGATAGAAGCTTCACTTTGTTGGAGAATTCAATTTCCTTAAAGTCAAGGAGACTTTAAGAAAAAGTTGGATATAGTTTCTTATTACTCATTGTTCTCATTAAGGTATTTAACAACAGCAGTTTGTTGATCTTATGAATTGTTTTTCAACTGGAAAGAAATATGTATTTGTTCCCACTTTCCCAAGAACATAATTTGTACCAATAAAGACGGTGCTACTAACCTTTTTTCCCAGTAAATTAAAAGGTGGTTGTGATATATTAAAGTCACCTGTTAAATTACTGACTTTTATTTGCATAACACATTTTAACAAAAATTATTTCTATTATATTTGGTTATATATATTCATAAGGTTAGTAATTTGGTTATTTTCCCACCAATATTTTGTTATTAATAATGCATTTTGTTTTTGATGTTTTCTGTTGATCTGAAGAATTTTTTTTTTCTCTTCACATATGCTTACTTACACTTACTATTTAATCTTCTGTGATTTGCTTTTGTTTTTGTTTTTTACCTTGACTTCTTTCTGTTATTTCCTTTGGGCAAAACCTTAAATAGTAGATGAGTGGCCTTGAGGTATAGTTTTAATAAAAGCTTCACTGAGTAATCATTTGGTATAAAATCTTAATCAAATCCGTCAGTAGGAAAAAAGAAAGCGATATATTTTCAAGGTTAACTTTCTTTGTGGTTGCTCCTATGAATAACACATACACATTGAATTCATTTAATTATTGCTTGCATTCAACTATATTTGAAGGTCCGTATTTCTGATAAATAGATGGAAAAATCCATAAGTTCCAGAGAGCAGATTATCAAAGAATTTATTCATCAAAGAAAAAGTTAGACCATGAGGTTTTGCTTATATAAAATTGTAGTCAATACCCCCAGGAACATATTCGGGAATACCTTATTAGTTTGATAGTTTGTTGTCGTCGTCATTGTTTTAACTACAGAAAGCATAGCCTTCTTCTTATTTTCCTTTTTTTTTTTTTATTTTTGACATCATTAAATATATATCTAGTATATGCAAATATATAGTATATATATGTATGGAAATATAATTATGCAGACTAGCAAATAATTTTAGTTCATTTCATGAATATTTTTATTATTTCCAGGTTCGATGGATGATGTACTGGATTGTTTTTGCTCTCTATACTGTGATTGAAACAGTGGCAGACCAAACAGTTGCTTGGTAAGTTCTAGTACCATGAAAGAGCCAGTCTACAGACTAGTTATCAGGTCGTGCTCTTGCTGTTAACTAAGTGAACTTGATCAAGTTACCCAATTATCCAGTGTCTCATTTTCTTCATCTGGTTTCCCTATAAGAATATTACATTTGTTTACAGCCCTCCCCAAATAAAGGTAGTTCATTCTTCATCCCATGTGCCGCTCTCTCTGCCCACCTCCCGCACACCTTCCCAGTATTTTAGGGTAGAGAAACTTGGTTGTCATTTTCCTTTTTCCATACTGATGATTTCAGACTATTTATCTTTCCCTAAACAACTCCTCTTTTGAAGCCCACAGCATCTGGCTTTACCACTGCTTCCTCATCCTTAAAACTCTCATCTACAAACATTCAAACTGAACGACATCACCCTCCACATGGGCAGCCTCCTCAACACCAGTTCCTTGGCTGCTCTGTTCCCACAGAACCTGTGCTGTATGTCAGTGGTGCATTTCCATCTATTCCTAGCCGTCACCGGGAGAAGTCTTCCTTTCAAAATCTTCTAACTTCTGACTGGTCACAGCCTGGTGTTCTTACAACACTTTTAGCCCTTTTTCCCCATTGTATACCTGCTCTTCACTTCACCGAAACCTTTCATCCCTTGATTACTGCATTATCCCCTAGTTTGTTGTCTCCACTTAGTTTTTACCTTTTTTCCTTAACCAGCCTGGTCTTGTATATTCATCCACTTCACTTACCACCTTGCCAGTATCTTCAGCTGCTCTTGTTGCACACACTTCCAGCCTAAATTAGACCACCAATCACTTGCCTTTTCTTCTTTAACTGTGCTACTAACTGCAGCCAGAAGAAGAAAAATCAGCCTCTCACATGGTTCTCAGTCTGAACCTTAGCATTCCCTTTACTTGCTTTGGTCAGCTACTACTTCTGTTCCCTCCTGTGTCTGTTTCAGACCTTTACTATTCTCCTTAAGTCGTCTTTCCCACTTGGCTATTCTCGTTCTAGCACATTAGGTCACATTGAATTTGCTAGAAAAAAATAGAAGTCATCAGACCTGAATATTCTTAACAACCTGCCCTTATTTATGAGCAGCTCTGTGTCTGCACCCGTCCTTCTCTTCTGATTTAAAATAAGTTTTCCTTTCTCTGTTCCACAGATCATTCTTTTACCTGTTATGTTGTTGGTGTGGGGGTTTTGGTGAGGGGTTTTTTTTTTTTTTTTCCTTATTTGTTTGCTTGTTTTATGTTTTATTTATTTTTTATTGTAGTAAATACATATGTAAAAAATTACTCAATTTATTTGCCATATCTCAATTACTGACATGTACAATTTAGTGACGTTAGTTATGTTTAGCATGTTATTCAGTCATTACTATTATCTATTTCCAAATTTTCCTGTCAGTGTACCCTGAACTTTCCCTCCCTCCAGCTTGCCCTTGATAACCTCTAATAAACTTTGGTCTCTGCCCACCTGCCTGTCCTAGATATTTCATGTAAGTGGGATCATACAATATTTGTCCCTTTTGTAACTGACTTATTTCGTTCAGTATAATGTTTTCAAGGTTCATCCATGTTACAGCGTGTGTCAGGATTTCATATATCTTTATGACTGGGTAATATTTCATTATATGTATGTACCACATTTTATTTGTTTCCTTGTTTTTTAGAGGCAGGACAGAGATTCTAAACCATGTTCAGTCTCTTAAGTTTCAAAGCTCATCTTTAAAAGACCTCTTGGTTTTTTTCTGAATGCAGATATAGCATCTACACATTATTTTAAATATGGGATGGTGAAAAGATTTAACATGAAGAATGAAAGGCCAGAAACCCCTCTGTAATTGCACTGTGGCAGAGACTCTTTATTGACTACATAATAGTCATTTTCTCACTTCCCCCTACCCGACTGCCTTGCCAGAAGCACCTAGATTTGTTCAGTTATCATAGGTCTTAGTGCTTCGTGGACCAGAAGTTGCTGGTCCCCTCATTAGCATTTACTGCGGTAACACCCAACCCCAAAGGCACAGTGAATGGGAAAAACAAACATTTATTTCTTGCCCAAGTTACATGAGGGCAAATGGTTGGCTGCAGCTTTGCTGGGCTCAGCTCAGTTTTAAGTGTCTTCTTGCTTTGTGACCAAGGCTGAAGCAGCAGCTATTCTCATGACAGAAGGCAAGAAATTGGTGTGGAGGTGGAGGCAAGTAGAAGGAGGAGAGGGAGCCAAACCACACAAAGGCATTTAAAGCTTCTGCTTGCATGTGGTGCATGTCAGCCTCACATTTTGTTCACGAAAGCAAGTCACACTGCTAAATCCACAGCCATTGGGTGGAGGAGCATACTCCACCTATGGGGAAGGCACTGCAGAGTGATATTGAAAAGTGTATGGTTATATTATCCTAATTCTCGATCTACCGCAATGGTGATTCCATTCCCCTCGCAAGCGATTGGTTTAGGCTACAAAGTGCTGCAATAATGGCCAAATGAGATTGGAGGGGAAGTTTTCTGGGGTTTCTGAGAAAGATAAGAAGGAGATATGTGTATGGGTTAAACATTATGCCCTTGGAACATATAAAGTTGTGTCCTGACTCTTTGAGGGATATCATGTATGTCATGTCATATATGTCAACAGGGTAGATGTACCTTACTGCCCTGCTTAAATGCTGTTAATGCCCTCTTTAGCTGCTACGGTCAGTTTAGCAACTTGCTTGTTCTTGCTTAAAAGGAAGAATCATACTAGAAAGTGTGGATCTCTGAGGGGATCAGATCACTGATCTATAGTTTAATTGAGATATTTGTGCAATTAATTCATCAATTCAAACATGGTTATTTTCCTAATCACTGATGTTTACATTTGAAAGCTTAACACAGTTATCCAACTTTTAAAAGAGGTGTGTGTGTGTGTGTGTGTGTGTGTGTGTGTGTGTGTGTGTGTGTGTGTGTGTGTGTTTGTGTGTGATTTTTTTACTCTTTGTAGTTTATATTCACTGGCAATTTTTTTCTTGTTAGGTTCCCCCTGTACTATGAGCTTAAGATTGCTTTTGTCATATGGCTTCTCTCTCCCTATACCAAAGGAGCAAGTTTAATATACAGAAAATTTCTTCATCCACTGCTTTCTTCAAAGGAGAGGGTAAGATATATAAATTATTTCTACAAATCATTTGTTAAAAATGTACATTGCCACATGCTTTGCACTATAAAATTAGTGAAACTATAATATTATGGAGGGAGAGTCCTGATTTTTTGCTTCTTAACACTATTTTTAAATAAAATTAACATCTGTGGGGCTTTTTTCTCCCAGGAGATTGATGATTACATTGTACAAGCAAAGGAACGAGGCTATGAGACTATGGTAAACTTTGGACGGCAAGGTTTAAACTTAGCAGCTACTGCTGCCGTCACTGCAGCAGTGAAGGTAATTTTTCGTTTATATTTTTTTATCCGGTGTCCTATTAAGTCAACAGATAAAGAAGGGTGGCTTTTTATTCAGATTATTATCAGATTTTGACAGGATTTTGCTTTGTATTTATTTTTGTAAAACTGGAAAGAACAAGTAGACAATTTTAAAGACATTTTAACATTGTGTTTTCTATAACTACTCCATATTTTGCAACCATCTTTTAATTGGTCACAAAATGAGACCTACCTAATAAATAAAACATACCTGAAAATGTCATTTTGTCATAGTTTTCCCACTTTATGACCTTAAAGTAGTTTGACTACATTACCTTTAGTAAAGATGATCATTCTTTCTTTCTCTGTCTTTGATGTTCTCTCTCTGTATATCTCTCTCGATGGCAATATCTTGGTAGGATTTCTGGCTTACTTCTGCACCTCTCCTTCAATCAATTTGAGGTAACTGCTTAATCAAAATAAGGCATGAAAAAATTCTGTTCTTAAAACTTGAGATTTTACTCAGCCAATTACTAATGTCATTTGTTGTGTTTTGCTAGCCAAGTTATCAAGTGAGTGCTTTCTGTGAAAACTTGCATTATGGCTTTTGGATTTCTTTTGCATGTAGTAATTAGTGTGGTTTATTTTAAATACCATAGCATAATGGATTTTGGCATGTAGTATACAGAAAGAAAACAGGCATCGGATCCAGAATGTGCCAAGTGTGGCTTTCTAAGTAACTATAGGCAATTACTTACCTTCTGTGTTCATTAGTTACTTCATCTTTGTGGATAATATACCTATCTGTGATAGCGTATATACAAGCACAGTGCTTGCTTACTTATAGGAGGAGCCCAGTTCAAGTGAAATTTTGAGTTTATTGCTCTTGGGTTACATTGAAACTAATAATATCCTAGCTCTCAAGTTAGGCTCATTTAACTTAGTTGTGTTAAAACTAAAACAGTAGTATGGAAATAATTATTCTAGTTAAGTGGTGATTTTACATGATAGCAATAGTGAAGGGATGTAAAATGATGGAACTTAGAGTATTTGGCTCAGTTATCACAATTAATATGATCAAAAAGGTGAAATTTTCAAATTATATACCTAGCAGTGTTGCACTGAGGATTAAATGAGGATTTGTTAACTGTCCACATAAGACAGATATATTATTAATGATTGTTAATTAATAGCATTTTAATGTGGTATAGTTTGCCTGTTAGTTGGTTTTTATAAACTTTTTCTTTTATTAGATTAGATTGATAAACAAATACTAAAATGGCAAAATTTTCAGCTTCTTTAAAGACTGTTTTCCATTTTAGAAGCAGATCATTTGCTTGTTCTTTCTTGCTTAATGAAAATGCATTCCTGACTTCCACATCTACTAAAAAGGGCCATCCAAGAGATCCAGCGTTCAAAAACTAAGAACTCTAAAAAGAGAGAATAGATGTAATTATCGAAGAAATAACATGACAGTATTTCCCAGAACTGAAGGACATTAATCTCCAGATTGAATGGGCCCCTCAAAGTACACAGAACAATGAATGGAGTGGGAGTGGGAGGGGGGACTGACTCTAAGCAAAGTTGCTGGGATATTCCAGAACAGCAGAGATAAGGAGAGAATTCTTAAAACTTCCGAGAGAGAAAAAGTATGTCACGTTCAAACAAGCAAAATTCAGAATGGCATTAAAATTCTAAACAGTGACAGTGGAAGCTTGAAGACAGCAAAATAATCCTCTCAAAATTCTAAGTGAAAATGATTTTCACTCTGAAGTTCGATAACTCATCAAGCTCTCAGTCAGGTGTGATCTTAGAATTTTTTATTATAGGCAAGCAAAGTCACAAAATGTACCTCCTGTCCATCCTTTGTCAGGAGAGAGATGCTCTGCCAAAGTTAAGGAGTAATCCAAGAAAAAAGAAACCCATGGTATCCGGGAAACAGGGTAGGGAGGTAAAGGGAATTCCCAGAATGAGCTCTGTTGGGCAAATACTGAGTACATCCAGCCAAAACTGGATGAGATGGATGAAGGGTGCCAGGAGGGATGTCTCTGGAAAGAATAGGGAGCTGAGAGTATCTAATAGGTTTACTCTTGTGCAAAGATGATATTTAAACCATGCAGAGCCCATGCTGTGACCAATCAGAAGACCCTCTGGCTGTAAACAGCTGGTACTGATGCAGGTGCACATCAGCCCTGAGCTCCAAGAAAAATGTATTGGAGACAGTGTAAAGAGGGAAGGGGTAAGACGACTAAGCAACTGTAAAAAGGCATAATCATTAACTTAAGAGATAAACCAAAAGTTAGATAAGAAGGGAATTAAAACAAACATGACTCGGCTCAGCAGTGAGTGGCATTTACATCATCGTATCAGAACATCACAGAACTCTGACTATGGATTTAGCAACAACTCTGATTTTGCTGTATTGGGAGGATAGAGGAAGGAAAAGGGGAGATGAGAGAGAGCTCAAGTCCTCATCTGTCCTATTAGGAAACAAGAGGATTTAAAGTGGTTGCATCTTCAAGGGGATGAAGAGGAAAAGAGGACCAAGAGCTTTCCTTTTTTGCTTCAAGCTTTTAGCATTATTTAACTTTACAAACTGAGTGCATGTATTTGTTTACATGGAAGCATGTAAATAAAATTAAAAAACCATGGAAGCAGCAGTTAAGAAATCAAAAGACACATTGCATTGAGCAAATCTGCTGCAAAAGACCTCTTTAAAGTGTTAAAAAGCAAAGATGTCACCTTGAAGACTAAGAGGCACCTGACCCAAGCCATGATATTTTCATTCGCATCATATGCATGTGAAAGCTTGTCAATGAATAAGGAAGACTGAAGAAGAGTTGACGCCTTTGAATTGTGGTATTGGCGAAGAATATTGAATATACCATGGACTGCCAGAAGAACGAACAAATCTGTCTTGGAAGAAGTACAAGCAGAATGCTCCTTAGAGGCAAGGATGGCAAGACTACGTCTTACATACTTTAGACATGTTATTCTTACATACTTTAGACATGTTATCAGGAGGGATCAGTCCCTGGAGAAGGAGATCATGCTTAGTAAAATACAGGGTCTTTGAAAAAGAGGAAGCCCCTCAATGAGATGGGTTAACACAGTGGCTGCAACAATGAGCTCAAGCATAACAAGGATTGTGGGCATGGCACAGGACCGGGCAGTGTTTCATTCTGTCATACATAGGGTCGCCATCAGTCAGAACCGACTCGACGACACCTGACAACAACAACTTTACAAACTGAGTGCACGTATTTATTAACACCCCAAAGAAGATGCTTTCTGAATTTTTCACATTTAAAATCATCATCCAACATGATTCCACGGAGACAAACTGAGATTAAAATTTCAACTTGAAAAATTGTTTCGAAAATACAGATAATGTAGAACACCATTTTAAAAAACATAATATCCAAACCCTCACTTTAACACTTAAATATAGTTTGTAATCCTGTTGGTCTGTGACACACCTTTCCACATAATACGACGTTTTATGGGATATTTATTTAATTTTGACTTGTATTTACTTCCAAATTCTCTATATGAGAATTAGCAATCCTCACTGTTTTATCTTATCCTCATTCCCTCCTCCTTTATTTTTATTTGATACTTGGCTGCCTTAAGTACTTAGCATCCTACAGATCATTTATTCAGCTTCTACTTATTTAATGTCTAATATATGCTAGGTGTTGGGGATGCAGCAGTGAACAAGATAGACATGGTCTCTCTACCCTCACAGGCTACTGTCTGGCTGTAGCTAATGTCTGTATTCACTGACTAAAAATTTTATCATGCCTTTGGTTGCTAAGAGCTGGCTCCTCGCCTTCCATTATTAAAATAAATACTTTGTGTTTAAAAAAAAAACTATAAAAGCAATCCTGTTTATGTATTTCTCGGGTTTCTTTGTTTCATCGTAATTTGTTGTTTATTTTTATTTACATATTTAACACCTTTAAAGTTACCTCTCCACTCTAAAGGCAGGAATCATAATTGAGTACAAAAATCATCCAAATTATTATCATTGTAGAACAAACACGTTTCCCATCATTGGAATTCGTTTCAAAACTGTCCCCCACATGTTTGTCCTGTGGTAATACTTCCACTGACAAGATCACTATAACTTTCACCATTCTCATCATGAGAACAGGAATGCTGGCTTCAACCATCCTGGAGTCTGTTTTATTCATTAGAAATAGTCATTAAATATGCTGAAAATAGTATCATGTTAACACTATTTGCCACCAGTTAGACTGTACCTATTTCAAAGTAGGTGACATTAGTTTCATCTCTGGGGATGTCAAAGAAAGACACTGCTATGGAAGAATCACTGAACCAGACACTTCCTACTGAAGAGTAAATTGAAACTGAAATAGAAAATAGGTCAAGTTTAAGGAGAAACTGCAATATAACCAATAGTAAGACTTGAGAATTATTTTAAATTTTTACAATATATAGTTTCTTAAAAATAACTTTCAGGCTAAAAATTAATGGACTCTTTGTGTGACCTTTAAAGAATGGTAATAGCCCTGATGAGGTTCCCCAGGTTGAACTACCTGAGCATGTTAAAGATTAAAACAGGAATCTAATCAGAACATTTATTACACCGTGAAGCAATTTTCTGAAAATGTTACTCAGTTCTGTGACCTCATTACCAGGCATCTGTTCACAAGGTCAGTGTACAAGTTTATTTTGGCTGAGCAAAGCATAAACATATGAAGGACCTTCAAGGATTTTGCTGAGGATGTTCAACATTCCATAGCTTTTCCCATGAGAAAATGCAGGTAGCTTTTATACAGATGAGCAAAACTACTGCCGAATGAAGGGCAGATAAAGAAAAGTACTATTGGTCTTATTCATCATCTCTTTGTATTTTCTCTGCCTGCCTTTTCTTGGTGAATTCTTTAGCAAATATTATTTTAAAAAATCAGTTATCACAGAAATTAGAGCCTTACAGGTAAAATTGCTAAAACCTAATTGACTTTAAATTATCATATGATTAAGTCAAAAATTCTG